TCTGCATTACTGCTCTCCTTCTCAGAGGCTATAAGAGAAGAGACTTCACGGATCCCAGTCCCAACCTGCTCTGAAGAAGGAGACTGAAAGCCGATGCCCTAGCTTACACACCATAAAGGAGTGGATCCAGCCTTACTGTATACCCTTACCCTGCTGTGAGGGGGGCCTGGTTCAAACCTTCCCATCACACAGCTCCTGCTCCCCTGCAGGTTCATTTGCCAAGCCTTATCTCATAGCCTGAAACCCCAGTCCTGTCCTTGCACATGGGTGGCTTTTGGCACCAGATCACTGGTTAATTGATACTTTTACCCTTGTACCCCTCTATATTTCCAGCAGGGCTCTCCATAAACCACAAGATTACTAAGGAGTAATAAATCACCAGAGCTCAGAAACCCCTGCAAGGCTCCAAGTGACTGAAACCTCTGGACAAAAGCATTTTTACAAGGAACTCTCTTCAAGTGAGGTCAGCAAAAGGTATTTGATATCAGAGCAATCAGGGATATTTGCTTTCCCGTATGGCATGGCAGCAGCATGTGGGACTGCTTGGGAGTGGGGGGAGGCTAGCTACAATGGTCCCAGAGCTTAAGATCTGCCTCCCTCAAACACAGGAAAGTCTCTTCAGGCTATTTTTGTAATAATCAGGTAGGATCGGGAATAAAATAACTGCTTTCCTCCTTCCAAGATCAGCAGCAAGAACCTGGCTATTTTTGCAGGCTAAAGCAGTGGTTGGTTATTAGAGAAGCAGATGACATTGGAGTTGTTCAGGTCCACGTTTTCAAGTGCTGAGCACCTGAATGAGGGGATACATTTTCCAAAATGTTCAGCAGCCAGCAGCTGCGACCTGGCCAAACGCTCAGAAAAGCTCAGCACACGCTTATTTTTGGTGCCCACGTCAGGGCACGTATTTACTTACGGCACTTCTGAAACCGCTGTTCTACTTCTGTGCAAGTAGTGCTTTGCAACTGCCGAGTTGCTTCAAGCTCCAGGTGGTAAACACATTTGTGAGGCTGTTGACACTAAGCGTCTTATATTTGTTTATCATTTGTGCTCATAAGAGAAGCCTTTGCTTATGGTTTGACACCAACAGTTGCGACAGCGCTTTTAGAAACCATCACGAATAATGAAAGCATCTGTTGATGTTCAGCCCAGCGGTATACAAGGCTTCTCAGCTTTCTGCCCTCAGCCTGATGAGGACACAAGATGGTCAGGGCATAGAGTAAGGGCAGCATTTAGAGAAAGACGTGGGGTTCAAGGCTGCAGATATTTTCTGGGGGGAAAGTTGCTGGCCAGAAAGGGGGCAATGCTTCAGCAGCCAACTCTCTTTGCAGATAGAGTAAAACAGAAATAGCTAGCCTCTACATTGTACCAGCTAGCTTCTAGATCACAAAGAAAAGAGCCTAAGTTCAGTGTCCTGTTCTGGATCTAGTTATCCCAAAGTTCAAAGGTAGCTGAAGTTGAGGCAGTCCATTGTCTCTAGGTACACTATTAACATGACTCCCCTCAAACCATCCGTACAGTTCTTACCCTGATAAAGCCTTGGCTTCCAAACACAACGAAATCTGAGGCTAGATCTAAATTTCACATCCCCCAGAGTTCAAAGGTATTTCTAGACTGACATGGTATTGTAAGAATGGAATCATTTCCTAATCTTCAACAAATTAAATGCTGGCAAGCCGCTCTTGTCTGCTCAGCACTGTTGTGACATGCTCTGTCTCCCAAAATGGGAAGGAATGGAAATGAAGCGCTCTTTCTTTCCGTACCTGCCTTTCAGAACAGTTTCAGCTGAATGTATACTTTCCTGCATTGCTGTCTGAGCACCTTTTCCAATCCTGACCCACTGGTCTTTTGCACTTGAAAACCAAAAAGCAGCCCACATAAGCCAGAAAATGAGGAATTAGTTTGCTACCCTAGCAACACGCCTCAAGGGTTTTATTGTCTCCATCTAAAATGATCAAGAGGCAGCACAGTCCAATGGTGAAGCCACCAGTGGTTTAAGACTCAGGAGGTCTCAATGCTCTTCATAAGGACAGCGGTCTCTTACCATGTGGTTTTATACAGGAAAGTCCCAGTTTCATCTGTTAGAATAGTTTTAATCACCCCAAAGTCTAGGGTAGTCTCAGGCTCACTTTGCTGCTGAATACTTTTCAAATACTTGGGAAGTATTAGTATAATCCACGCTTCATACCATGCATGTCTGAGGGAGCAGTGCTTCAGCAACAGAAGTTTTCCTGTAGTTATTTTTTAAGCATTTGAATAGTCTCAATTTCAAGCAGCAAGAAAGCTCTTATTTCTGTCCATCTCCGTAAAGCTAACATCTGGCCACTTAGTTGCTAAAACTAACCAAGAGCTAAAAATAAAAAGGACATTGGATCTGAAGAGTGTTTTCTAAGGATTCGAAAACATTTTGCTTTGCTATTTAAATCGGGGCATGCTGGCAGCCGCCGTACAGGGAATAACAGACCTGCCCCTTGCACAACACACTGACCACACCACCTTGAAAAGAGCTGGCGTACTCAAGCCACGCAGGTCTAGAAGAATCCCAGACTCCTGTTTCCTAATTACACGTAAAATATTTGTCCTAGAAATGTATCATGATCTAACGTATCCGAAGACATTTTTTTCTCGCTTGTTATGCTTTTCAGCAGTAACACCCAGAAGAAGTACAGAGAATTCATCCCATTTTCTCCAGAAGGTTTCAGTCAGGAATGTCAATTTTTACTAGCCAGAACAAGCCGATATCCCAGGCATAAAACTGCAGCGTGTCGGCCTTTTACTCCCTCTTACCCCAGGTGCGAACACAAGAGGGAAAG